GTATGTTCTTGGGATGAATTGGTCTTTCATTAACAAGGCTATTAGCTGACGTGCGTCTGCAAGTGCAGATGGCAAAACTACGTATGTAACATTCCATAATCTGTTAATAAATATAGCTGCTGATCAGAGAACGCCAGAACACTTGGATGCAGCAGACAAGAGCTGAACGCGGGGTTCTAGCTGGAGCTGCATGTGTTCTCCCCTCTGAAGCGGTGAAAAGAGACTGGTCTTCTGATTATTTGACTCCACATTCTACCAACAAAAGGTGTTTCTCTCCATCTTCTCCGAACCTGTTTTTGGTCTAACAGAAGAAAGACCAACAATATGTACGGTTCCGCTTACGCCAACATCGTACACAAAAAATGCTGAACACTAACTAGAAATTCACAAAAATGTCATAGAAATAAAATAATCTAGTTTATTGGGTCTTTGGTAATTTAAGACCTTTGGAAACTGTATTTAAGGATTATTTGTCATTTTTAAGGATTTTCAAGGCCTTAAATTTGGAAAAGTCAATTTAAGACTTTTTAAGGACCCGCGGATACCCTGTTTATCTTTGTCTCATTAGTGAGAGGCAGCTGATGCCCTATGCCATGGAAAAACCATGAGCAAGGAGGCAAAACAGATACTGCTCGTATACACAGAGAAATTCAGAAAAGCTCTGGACTCATCTGAATTTTTGAAGAGGCTGTAGCATTATGTTGACTTTTTTTTTTGGAAGGTTGTTATAAGGCCAATAAAAGTTGTTGCTGGTTATTTCATTTGTCTGAACTTTTTTTCTAAAGCAAAACTTTTCTGCTTTTGTGTTTACAGCATATTTTTTAAAGAGTAGTGTATGGTCAATATCAGTTTACTAGTCTTGTGAATTGTATACTTAATTCAAAATATTTTAGTAATTTGAAATACATATATACACATGTAAATATGCCTAAAAATTACACATCAGCAGCTTTTCACTGTAAAGAAGCAATAAAAATCATAAATAGTAACATAAATATTAACTACTCACTCGTATGAACTTAGACCCACTGTTAGTCCCTGTAATAACAAATGATTGAAAGTTAAATGTTGCTGTAGAAGGCGTGCTCCCATAAATGTTGGCTAGTGGGCTTAAGGGGTTAATTAAAATGATTACCACTAATTACTTTTTCTGATATTTAATTTTATTGCAGTTAAAATAAACACTCGCACATACATTACTCACCTGCTAACTTAAGTAAGCGTATGTTGTGCCTATAGTCCGGCGGCAACTGATTATTTGTTGGTGGTATCTGTGTTTTATAATCTCACTGGGGATGGCCATAAAGTGTGTATGCAAGAAAAAAAAATCCATACGTTCATATTTAAATCTGGAGCCTTGTCTGTTTAATTACATTGTTACTATTTCTGTATAAACGTATTCCTTCAATTGTATTGTTCGCATTGAAAGGCGTTTGATATGAATCAAACCCCAATTTCCTCTGCTGGAGCCTGAGGCAGGGTGCTGCACCCTGGATCCGACCCAGGTTTAAGCTCTCCCCGCCCGCTGGGAGGGCTTCCGTTATTGAGATATTTCCCTTTTCTGACCACCAGGGGAGCTCGGGGGAGCTCAACAGGCACATGGGGGCGTGTTTTGTAGGGGGCGTGGTTTGTCGGGGCTGCGCCTGCAGCTAGACTCACAAAAACCCTGCGGCAAGGGAAAACAGTTTCCTCTTCTAGACAATCCTAAAAGAAAATATGCAAATAAAAAAAACGACACTGTAGACCAAAAAAATCAAAGGAAGGAGGAAGTTCAACGTTTTTACTCAGACCTATATAGTTCTAATTTCTGTGAGGAGGAATGTAAATCCTTCTTCACTCAGAAAAAGAACAATATTAAATCTATTGAAGAGGAAGACAGAAAAAATCTGGAGGATGATTTGAATATTAAAGAAGTAGAAAATTCCCTGAAAAAAATGAAAAATGGGAAATCGCCCGGTATTGATGGATTGACTTAGGAATTTCTTAAATTTTTTTTGGGAAGATGTTCAGGAATTGTTATTAAGTACATTTAATGAGTGTATAAATGAAGGATGTCTTACCCCAACAATGAAAACTGGAATAATAACCCTTCTTCCCAAACCAAAAAAAGATACAACAGACTTAGACAACTGGAGGCCAATTACTCTGTTGTGCAATGATTATAAATTATTAGCGCTATTATATGCAGAAAGACTGAAAAAGGTAATTGATGAAATAGTAGATGATAATCAGTCTGCGTTTATAAAAGGAAGAAGCATACATAATAATGTGAGATTAGTACTGGATATGCTGGATTATAGGTCTATTTTGGAAACGGACAGCCTCTTTTTATTTATAGACTATTTCAAAGCTTTTGATTCTATTGAACATAATTTTTTATTTTCCACCCTAGAATATTTCAGTTTTGGAAAAAAATTTGTTCAGTGATAAAAATGTTCTATACTGATATTAACAGTTATGTTTCCTTAAACCCAGGATTAACAAAAAGAATAAATATAACTTGTGGAATAAGACAAGGATGTCCAATCAGCCCCAAACTGTTTATCTTATTAGCATATCTAGTAATAAATCATCCAAATTTTCAGGGTATACATTTTTTTGATTATGAATTTCGTTTAAGTCAGTTTGCAGATGACACTGTTTTTTTCTAAAGGATAAATCTATGGTTAACAAAGCATTACAAATTATTTCAATTTTTTCCAAAGCATCAGGTCTTCGTCTGAACACAAAAAAATGTGAGTTACTTTCACTGTATGAATGCACAGATAATGAGATAATGTCAATTCCTGTTAAAAAAGAAATAAAATATCTAGGAGTTAAGATAGTTGCAGACAAAAAAAAAAAAAAAAAAAAAAAGAGAAGAAATCAATATGAAAGAAAAAACTGATCAAATACAAAAAAACTCTGAACCAATGGCTTAGCAGAGATCTTTCTATTTTGGGGCAAAATTTATTGTCCAAGTTTGAGGGTATTTCCCAATTGATCTATCCATGTCAATCCCTTTATATCGCCCCAAAAACAGTGAAAATTATTAACGCTATTATATACAAATTTATATAGAGAAATAAAACCCATTATATAAAAAGATCCCAGTTAGTCAAAGAACATAAAAATGGAGGTAAGAAATCTGTGGATTTTGAAGCAATGCTGGGAACATTTAAAACAAAGTGGCTGAAAGAATTTCTAATAAAGACAGATACAATTTGGTTTCATATTCCAAAAAATGTCTTGAAGAAGTTTGGGGGGCTAAACTTTCTTTTGAAATGTGACTTTGAAATCACTAAATTGACTTTTAAATTACCTGAATTTCACAAACAAGTATTGCATTATTGGAAGATGGTTTTTACCCATAATTTTACTCCTCATTGTGCCACCTTGTGGAATAATCGAGTAATTATTTCAAACAGAAAGTCTTTGTTTAACCAACAGTGGTTTGATCAAGGAATTATCTTTGTACACGATATTATGGATAAAGATGGTGAAATACTACAGCTACAGAATTTTAAATACAAATTTAATAACATTCAATGTTCTCTTCAGGAATATGAGAAAGCATGTAAGGCTCTACCAGTGACTTTGATACAAATGATAAAAAAACACAATTCTCTTCTCTAATGTTCAAATAAAACTTCCTAATTTATTAATAGGAGAATTGAACATCACAGAAAGAAAATGTGAAAATAAGTTTTTAAATGGAGCCTTTAAAAAATATATCTATCATGATTATGATAGAAAGATTGAAATAAAAATACTAGGAAATCCAATAATTGAAGAAAAACAATTAAAATTTATAAAATGGCCTATAACGCCCAAAGTAAAATGAATGCAATTTAAAATTCTTAACAAATACTATCCATCAGCAGAGACACTGAGGAAGAGATTTGGTTTTGAAGTTGACCCTTGTGAATTCTGTCAGGAAAGCCCTAAAGGAACAGAACACTTATTTTTCAGCTATCATGTAAGTAAGAGGTTTTGGGAAGAAATCCATTGTTGCTTAAGAAATAAAATAAGAGAACTTGATCGTTTTACAAATGAAGATATTCTTATTTACAATTCTAAATTAAATGGGAATAAATCATTGTTAATTAACATTATTATTGTTATTATGGGTAAATACCACATCCACAAAAGTAAATGGAAAAAACAACTGCCAAACATGAACTGTTTTACAAATGAATTCCATATGTTCTCATCCACTTTGATTCGTATAAAAAATTCAAATACAACTGCAAGAGCCATTTGTCATGCTGCAGAAAAATGTTTAATCTTGTAACAATGTTTTTACTTTGTGATATAAGTGCCTCTTTTTTAAAGAGCAAGTCACCCCAAATAAACTTTTTTTTTGCTGATAAGCTAAATAAACGAGTGTCTAATCGTGCTGCAGACACGTGTCGTCAATAATTTGGCACTTCAGTGCATCTTAGTTAAAATTTAAATATTCTGCCTAAAACTGGCAGTGTTGTGCCGTTGTCAGGTAAAAACTCTGCACTGTATTTTAATTTAAATCTGCCACCGCTATTGGCTAAGAAGTATGCTATGATGTATACTGGTACATTATGATGTCACAATGCTGTCGTGAGCCTGAGTGTGTGTGTATTTGTTAGCGGCTCCGCCCTCTGGGTCTGCCAGGCAACAGCATGTGTTGCATTTTTCAAACATGAAGTGGGAGTGGAGTTAGACTCTGGTAGGGGTTGACTTGCTCTTTAAGTTTCTTATTTGTTTTTCTTTTATTGTTACTAAGGATGCCTTGTATGTTTCCATTATGTGTTGTTGTCTCACGAGAAATTGTAATAAGCATTTAATGATAATAAAAAAAAAACAGTTTCCTCTTACATGAACTAGCCAATCGTAGGAGAGCCCCACCAGCCAATCATAGGCGAGAAAGGCGGGACCTTCCTTGGACATCCTAGGATTCCAAATGACGCGCGCCGGAGCGATGACAATAGCGCCCCCTTCAGTTCCGGAAATAAATAGCGTCATTTCCATTCCATCCGTGCCCACTCCCTGCCCTGTGACTGAAGCTGCCGAAGCTGCAGCTTGCGTTTGCGTTTGTGTTGCAAGCACAGACAGCAAGCATTCATTTTTTTCAGTACAACACCGGAAGCTGGGATCAGCTGTGAGGAAGAGCTGAAAAAGATGAGCCATCTTTCCCCGGCAGACTGTCAGCCTGAGACCTGCTGTACTAGGAAGCGTCGGGGAATGTGGTTGTCTTCTGGCCAAAAAAGCGAATTTTAAAAGGCAAAACTTTTGGAGGAATAACCGCCGTTACCTTAGGAAGCATGTCTGATTTAGGAACTTAGCTGTAGATGCTGGATAAAAAGCCTATTATTACAAAAAGGTGTGAACAGAAGATATTTAATATTGGAAAATTAATTGACTGTAACGACTTTCATTATGGGAGATAAGAGACATACATAGTGTGAAGTATTTAGTAGCCGCACCGCATGTAAACAAACGGCTAAGTCAGCTAGCTCAAATTAGCCGATTCGTAGTTAACACTCGGGTACTATTAGGTGGCAGCATTAAGCTATAGCGTTAGCAAGGACGAATGCTAACTTATTGTAAGCCGGTAACGTTTCTTTGGTGCGTCCGTTTGATCCACGAACACTTTAGCTAATTTAGCGTCCCGGCTAACTACGTTGTGCGGGTGCGCAGAGCTGTAATTCGAAGCGGGGCCAGAGGACAAGAAGGCTTTTGGCAGTGCTAGCGGGACAATGGCTCGGGAGTAGAACGGGACGGTGAGATCAAATAATATCAGTAGTACTAGCCAGGAGCCGTTTCGCTAATTTTTCAAGAGTGACCGCTAGCAAATAGCCCTGGCGTGGTGAGAATTTTGCCAGCCATCCAAACTTTTCAACAATTTAGTTTTCCGCGTAAAGCTCCATTGAATAAACTTTCGACTCGGCGCTACAGATGTCATTGTTAAAAAATGTATAGGCTGACTAATCTGTAAGGATCCGCAGTTCACGCATAAGCGTGTAAAAAGTGTGTTTATGTAAAAACCAGCCCGGGCTGCTCAGAGTTTTGTCATGTAGCTTCGCTGGAGGGCCCATCAGTGAGCCTCTCAGCTGGGTTGTACTTGCCAGTGGTCTCCCATCCCCCCAGCCTTGAGCTCTTGACCTGGTCCACTGTTGGACCCTACTTAGAAGGACCACAGCTCCTGAAGACTGACAGGTGGATGTAATGGAACTGATGTTTGCTGAATGGGAGGATGGAGAGAGGTTCTCCTTCGAAGATTCGGATAGGTTTGAGGAAGATTCTCTGTGCTCTTTCATCTCCGAGGCCGAGAGCCTCTGTCAGAACTGGAGAGGATGGAGGAAACAGTCTGCTGGTCCAAACTCCCCCACCGTCAAGATCAAAGGTTTGTAAAGGCCAAATTAACTTTCCCAAGAAAAATTAACCAGGTGTTGCTTTCCAGGTGTGTCTGTGTGTGTGTATTAATGTGGTATAGCTGGATTTGAAAGCCAACAGGGTTTATTCACACTATTAGGTTTTTTTCTTTACCGTACTTAAATAGCTGTGTGTGTGCACTGTAGGGTTTAGGTCCCATCTTTTAAGGCTACAAGCAATGGCATCAGTTTGCTTTTAAAGTTGCCGGGGATAACAAAAATAAACAATACTTTAACGAGTGTTACTTGAAGAGCGTTGGGAACAATTAAGGATGCACAATATATCGGCATCAGTGTCAATACTGGCCCATGTTAGTCATTTTTTTAACATATCTGTATTGGTCCGACAAAATAAAACTGGGCCGATTTCAACGACCAATATTTTTTCCACCATGTTTCCATTTGTTTATCAGTTTTTGAGGGTGGGTGGGTTAGGGGGATGATGTGTATTTGTTTAGTCATATGACAGTGATTGTAACCATCTCTGAAGCGTAAATGTGTGTTTGTGTACATAATAATGTAAATTCTGCTGTAATAATTTTCATTCTATACAAAATCTGCAGATTTTGAAGCATTAATTATTATCAGTATTGGCAAATATTGATTATCTGCCTCAACGGTGATAATACTATCGGTATCGGCCCAAAAATTTCATATTGGTGCATTAATTATTCATAAATAAATGTTCATCCACATGTTTCATTATAATGTACACTGCAGTGTATTGACAGGTTGATTCTTTCATGTCTCGTTGCACACTTGGCATGATTCCTTAGGCTGGGGGATGTTGTGTGTAGAGACATCTGCTGAAATATCAGCTGGCAAGTCTGGTAGAGACAGCCCATTAATTATAATTTAGGGGTGGGGTTGGGTGTTCGCGAACCTGCATAATTGCACCTGATTTCATGAGCTGTACGCCAAAATCATCAATATTAGAAACCATAAAAGGCTTGAACTACTTCAGTTGTTTGTAATGAATCTAATACATATGAAAGTCTAATGTTTATCAGTACATTACAGAAAATAATGAACTTTATTACAAATGCTAATTTTTTGAGAAGGACCTGTACATGCTTGCTTAAGATGGGAATTGCTTTAAATGTTTCTTTACATAGAAAACTTTAAGCTACTTGGAAAAATGAAATGAACTCAGTGCACTGATAACTAGGTTCAATTGAAATGTTTGCTTTGTAAAATGCCTTGAAATTACTTTTGTTTTAAGTAGTATTTTATAAAATGAACTGAAAATGAATGAAAAAAAAGATTCAGTTTAATTTTACTTTAAATAAAACCCATCTGTTAACTGAGTTATTGTAGTATAATATTACCAAGTTAATTTTCCTGTTCTGCTGCTTATCCCAGATGGTCAGGTGATCCCACTGGTAGAACTATCTGCAAAGCAGGTTGCTTTTCACATCCCATTTGAGATGGTGGAGAAGGTCTACCCTCCTGTCCCAGAACAACTTCAGCTCCGCATAGCCTTCTGGAGCTTCCCTGAGAATGAAGAGGACATCAGGTGAGAAAGTACACTTTAGTCCTTTTTTCTGTTTAGTTATCTTCAGTAGGAATAGACAGATATATAGGTCTGCCAATATTTTGGGCCTTTTTTTAAATCAACATTGACTAACTTTTTAGTCGGGTTGCAAGGATGAGTTATTCCTATTTATAAAAGTGGTGATAAATTATTAGCTTTTCGTCTCCAACACTGCAACAAATAACTAAATTTGCGGACCAAATCAAAAGTGAAACTGTACGCAAGCAGCAGCAAAACCAGCGTCAACCCCCACCTATGTTTCCACCTAGGAAGCGCTTCAAGTCTCCTGTGAGGGATTATTTTAGACTCCCAAAGCTGCTTAAAGAGAAATTCGGAACGATCTCATCCATCCGCAGAGCTGGCAGAAAGAAAAAGTTGCAACACTCCTAATTTATCATCTCTGAGATCATCACGCAGACAAATGAGCTCCTACTGAGTCAGATTATGTTAGTGACTAAAGACATTTAACAGGAATAGTAGAACAATCCAGTGAACAACAGTTCATATTGTGTTGTTCTTAGGGCTGCAGCTATCGAATATTTTTGTAATCGAGTACTCTATCGAATCTTTTTTTCGATTAATCGAGTACTCTAATAAATTACCCTTTTGTGTTTGTATACCATTATATAAAATAGCATGTTATAAAATATGAAAGACCTCTCAAAATGAGCAAGCAATTGCCAGTTATTCTTCAAGTTTTATTCAAACTTAAGTTTGCAAAACTTCAGCACTTCAACTTTACTTCACAGTAAACAAATGCCTGTGCAAAAAATAAGTATACAACCTGAGCCGATTTTCCCCTCGTGTGACAATCTACTAGCCTGCAAGCCAGACAGAAACTAGGAGGATAACTGTTGAAGTAGCGCTGCGAGCGGCTGCGGCCCAAACAGAACCAGAACCGCTCACGGCGCAAACAGCTCGCCGGCTGTTTCCTTATTAACACACGTTAGTTTTAATTTCTACACGTTTTTTTTCTCACACAATAACAAGGATTGTCGAGAAAGCATCTTTGCTGTGGTTTTGGCAAATTATACTGATCACAAAACATTTATTTACTTTCTTTTGTTTTCCTCCGCCACACTCAAATACCCGTGTCCTCCTGCAGAAACCCCGAGGGACAACAAATATCAATAACAACACAATAAAAAGTCCCAACATATTGTGTAAAAACTGCTATTTTTTAGCACATTTTAAGTCCGACGTGTTGCTACCAGATGTACGGTGTGAGCTGAAACTGAGTGCTACAAACGAAAATGTTGCACAGTGTCCGCAGAATATATAGAAAAACAGGCTAAAATGCATTATCTTGTGGAGGCTCCGAGTCCGCTTGCAGAAGTGACATTTACAGGTGCTGCAGCACGGAGGATGTGGTGTTGTGGTAGGCTAAATCCATTTTACAGTATTTATACTGGACTACGTTTTCCACCTTACGACGTGAAAAATGGTTCCACAACTTTGACATTTTCTGTCTTTTTCGCCCTCCACCGGGGTTCAAGTTGTCCGCCATGGCTTAAGAGAAAGTTAAGTTATATTCGCTACTCCCGTGTGCATTCAGTCCAGTGGGCATGTGCGTCACTTATTTCGGTCCGGGTGAAACATGACCCCGTGCGTTTGCAAAGCCATGAATTAATTAAATATGAATTAAACGAATCCTCGAGGCAGAGAATTTGACTCGAGGATTTTTTGTACTCGAATTATTCGAGGTACTCGAGGAATCGTTTCAGCCCTAGTTGTTCTACATTTCCGCGTATCTGTCTTCAACAACATATCCACGTCAGCACGTCAGTGCTCTGAAATAGTAATTTTGTTAAGTGCTTTTTAATTCATTTTATTTGATTTTTGTAATCTCAAAAGCAGCTGGTTACGCATTGTGTTCTACATTCAGACAATTCAGTCATGTTATTTGAAAATTAGAAGGTTTAAGTTAAGCTGGCAGTATGTACCTGTTGTACTTATTGTTTTCAGTCAAAATTAAAATATGTTGCATCATCAACACGTTACTCTGTTTTGTTCCTATTGTGAGTTCGGTTAAGAATTACGTGCATTAAAAAATGTGAGGACCACCAAGCAACAACCATAGGTTCTCCCCTGAGTACCAACCCAAAAATAGTATGTGCACCCCTGAATATAATCCTACTTCTTAAGCCAAATTGGGCCAAAAAAGCAAAAAGAGTTGACTTTTCCTTAGTTTTCAGCTTGGCTGGATTTGAAACGGACCAATTTACTTTTGAACCAAAGTTGAAGATGACCTACATGTTTCTAACTGACACATGATGAACTGAACTGTAAAACATAATTTTTTGTATATAGAAATAGAAAACCCTTCAAATGCTGCTAAAAACGTTTTTGAATGATCGATATGTCAACATTGCTCCAGGTTATATTCCTGCCTGGCTAACGGGAGTCCGGATGAGTTCCAGCGTGGAGAACAGCTGTACAGAATAAGAGCTGTCAAAGACCCCCTCCAGATTGGTATGATCTGAAATAAGACTGGGTTTAAACCAGTCCAATAACAACAACTTGCTTTTATTGAGGATTTTCCCTGATTAGAAATTATTCTCCTTTCTGTGACTCCCTCTCTCACCAGGCTTCCACCTGAGTGCTACAGTGGTCACCAGTCAGTCCGGTCAGTCTAAAGGAGCCTACAATGTGGCAGTCATGTTTGACCGCTGCCGCATCACTTCCTGCAGCTGCACTTGTGGTGCAGGTGCCAAGTGGTGTGCCCATGTAGTGGCACTCTGCCTCTTCAGAATCCATAATGTAAGAATGTGCCCACATGCAGAAATACTTAATGTTTTAAACAAATGATGGTAATGTGTGTGCATGTTTGCAGGCAACAGCAGTTTGTCTTAGAGCTCCAGTTTCTGAGTCTTTGTCCAGGCTGCAGCGGGACCAGCTCCAGAAGTTTGCCCAGTACCTCATAAGTGAGCTGCCTCAGCAAGTAAGAACTGTTTTAAACACAAAAAACAAATGAAAGCATCACAACATGTTACAGATGAAGAAAACATAAACGATTTGTGTAAAAGCAGATTTAAATAAAGGGACAAAGCCATAAAAAAGCTAAATTAAGAAAGTGGCAAAATATAGATAAGTGGTTCTAAATCCTGATCCTGGAGTGCCAGTATCTAGAGCCATGCACGGGCCTAAAATCTGAGCCCGTGTGCGGCTCGGCCCGAGGGGGTGGAGCCCCAGCCCGACCCGGTCTGAAAAGGTTTTCAGGATTCTCTGGCCCGACCCGAGCCCGACTTTTTTTTTTAACCTTTCATAAAGTTTTAGCGTGATAGAATGCTCAGCATTCTAATTATCTGTGAGAAGCGTTCTGCAGTAAAAAAAAAAAAAAAAAGAAAAGAAAGAACAACAGCATCAGTGCAGTTTTTTTTCTAACAGAGTGTATTTTTCGAGCAGCAGATGAAATGTATAAACACTATATTAATTGGATGCGTTTGTAAATTTAATCTGCTCTGAAAATGCGCTCTTGTGCAATGAGGAAAAAAAGCAGCATTCTAACTTTCTAACTGCAGAGAGCGCATTTTCAGAGCGGCAGATGAAATAAACGCCCCCAATTAATAAAGCGTTTGTAAATCTAATCTGCCGCTCTTAAAATGCTCTCCAGTTAGAAAAAAAACAGCAATGAGTGCTGTATTTTTTTAAACTGTAGAGCGAATTTATTCACAGAAAAATAGAATGCTGCCGTTTTCATGAGAATAAACGAATGGTTTCTGACATCAAAGTGGACATGAGATGGCATTTTAGAATAGGGGCACATGTTTCAATCAGCAGTTTGAGAATTTGTTTATATAGGCGCATTTATAAACCACACAGACCTTAACTGAGCTAACGGGTGCCGGTGCGTGAGAAGCAGGCAGGTGCTGCTGCGTTTAAGTGTTTCAGGTTTTTTAAATGAATTCGATTAAAAATAAAGGCGCCCGGCCTGAGGTAATTACAGTCGTTGGCCTGAAGCCCGGCCCTCAGGCCGTCGGGCCGGGCCGAGGGCCTAGGGCTTCAGTGCAGGGCTCTACCAGTATCCACCATGTTTTAGTTTTAACCCTGTTTCCACCCACCTGATTTTAATCAGCAGGTGATTAACAGACTTATGAAGAGCCTGATGAGCTGCTGCACAGGTGATTAAATAACTGTTGCTGCAGAGAAACAACTAAAACGTGCTAGAGACGAGCCCTCCGATACCAGGATTGAGAACCACCAATATATGAAGAAAACACAAAGATTTAAGTAAGAACAGATGTAAATTAAAGGGTCTCCTGCTGCGTTTTAAGTATGTCAATACAAAATAAATGAAGTACTTCCCAAAGTCGGGGGGGGGGGGGGGGGGGGGGGGGGCAAAAGCCTGTAAAGTGCGATCACCTCGACTTTTAAATCTGGTCTTTGGAACTTGAGGAAGGTTCTGGTTTGCTCACCTGAGGGCTTCATTTGGAGCATAAGGCTTTAACAGTTGAGTACTACAGGGAGGAGATTGTAGACTTATGACTGCAGACAGGAGCCGTTGTAGTGGTTGTAGACTTTTGGAGGTTACAGCGTTTCCCCTAGGAATTTTTCCAGCTGTGGTGGTGGTGGTGTGTGTGTGTGGGGGGGATTATGACATGTCTCACCTTTTATGTTAATATTGTTTTATTAGACGCACTCCACTCTGAACTGCACCAATCCAGCAACTGCTGCATTTTAATAAATAGTATTAAAGGTTGAATACATCAATATTTGCACAAGAATAATTTTTGTTTTAAACTCTCAGTGACACACTTTGCAGGGGTTTTGGCATTTAATTATTCTTGGCGTTTGGAAGAACATCTCCTTTTGCCCCCCTTTATTTGACTTTCTGTCCCCTTTCTTTTGGTCCAAGATCATTACTGGGCTGGCCCTATTAAACACCTTCTACACCCCTGCTTAGCAGACTTAATGAAGTATTTTTAAGCCAGCATAAAAATGACTGAAACACAAATTTACATATTTGGCCTTATTGACCAATATCTTTGATTTAATTTATTTGTTAAGAACATCAAGATGCATTACAGTGAACATTATAATAAAGTAAAATTTTCTAGTGCAGAGAGGAGACAACCCATAGAAGCTTTGATTTGATCTCATTTCAGAGAAAAATAGAACAGGTCAGATGCACCTAATAAATAAAATTACTAACAAACTCAGGAATCTGTTTCTTTGCTTCACTGTTCTGGTGCTGAAAACATCACTAATGCGGATCAAAGGAGATACACAGATGAATGCACCTCTTATTTATTATTTGGAAATTAGTGGGTGTGGTTTACATCAATACATTATTTTAAATCTGAAATTGATATGGATTGATCAGAAGTTGCTATGTGTATTGTTTATTTGAAAACTATTTACAGAGTAGCCTCAGAATTGAGATTAAATATTTTTGATCACAATAGTAAAGGAACTATTACAGATCAAGTTTTTCAGTAAAATCTGAACATTAATATTTAAGTGCATGGATTAATACATCTGAACTCATGCAGTAGGAACTAGGAAATATGAAATACTAGAACCAGACACAACTTTTTATTTTATTTTAATTTGATTAAACTGATTTTTTCCTAACGTGTTGGCATTTTCCCACACACACAGTTAAACAAAACAATGTTGACTGAGGTGTGTGTGTGAGAGAGAGGGAGAGAGAGTTAAAATAATAAAAAAGAAAAAGAAAAACCCGAGCGGAGGCAGTGACCGACGCATGCACGAGCTGTTTTCAGCTCTGTCTTGTCAAATGCACCACGTACGTTACAAAAAAAGTAACTTTAAATATTCAACCGAAAAAGAGGCGAGCTGAAGAAAACCTATGGAGTACTGAAGAAACGTGATCCGTTACTCTTTGTGTGTGTGCATGGGGCGAATCAGAGTTTTGTGTGTAGGGAGGGGCAGGCGCTCCATGTGACTGGCCAATCACAGAGCGTGAAGGCAGGCAGTTACCCAATGAGGATTTTTCTTCAGCACGATTACAGATATTTACTAGTTTTACTCGTTTCATGCTCGTATTCATCAAAAATGCTTTATCTGCTGCTCATCCCTAGCTGTAACCACCCTGCCCTGCCTCCTCCTTCTTGCTGCCTGCCAGCTGTGATCACAAGCAACAACAGAGTAGTTCCCGCTGCTTCTTCGGGAAACAGCGCAAAAAAAAAAAAATCTATAAAACGGGATCTTGTAGGCGTGGCGCTGGGATTTCAGCCGTGGCATGCCGCCACAGCTACGCCTATGTAAGGGAAACACTGGGCTATCTTCGGTCGTGAGGGCGCTCAAAAAGCTTTTGTAGAGCCCATCGCACTGGATGGTCCCAGACCTGCAAATCAACCTCGCGTTCACCATTTTTTTGGACACAATTCTGTTCACTATGAGGGATTTGGCAAAGGTGGCCGAAAAAAAGAGAGTAACATCTAAATCAACATTTTTTTTTGCTGATAAACTATACATGTCCTTCTCAAAAAATTAGCATATTGTGATAAAGTTCATTATTGTCTGTAATGTACTGATAAACATTAGACTTTCATATATATTAGATTCATTACACACAACTAAAGTAGTTCAAGCCTTTTACTGTTTCTAATATTGATGATTTTGGCATACAGCTCATCGCAACACCGTGGCGACATCAGGGAGTTTTAGGTAATTTATAAGTGGTCAGATCATGGCAGAAATGTGGCGCAATCGTGTCCTTTTTAGAAAAGATTGGGCGATGGAGGTATAAAAGGGGTATGGGGGTGGTCTCTGCGCTGCTTCGGACTTTCGTTAAACTTGGACATAACTTGCTTTTCATTGCGATCGAAGCTTTAATCATTAAGTTTTTATAACAAGCTGCTCCTAAAGGTGTCCGTCCTGCACAGTCCCTGTGCAGTCTGGTGATCTGAGCTCCCATTCTAACGGAGCGAAGCTGCTGGAGCGCTGTAGCACTTCAGTTTGCCATCTCAACTGATTTTGTTTAGAAAAGCAAAACCTACAACCCATGTTTACTTTCATTTTCAATACAGTTGCCGGCCAGAGCTCGGCAGTAACTCCCCACGTCATCATGACACCTCCCTCTGCTACGCCAAGGCGCAATCCCCGTTTATGAGAAAGAATTACCGCAAAATTACTACCAAGCGAGGAGGAACGAATGCCACAAAGTTTGCGCAACGCCATTCTGGCATGATGTGTTTATAAGACAAACTGTTGTGTTAATATAACCCTGATTTGCCGGTACAGTGTGTCTTGTAAAAAGGACTTAATTGTGCTGTAGACATGTTTAGTCATTATTTTGCCATTTTAGAGCATCTAAATTAAAATTCAGCCAAAATCTGGAATTATTTCTGCCTCTTCAGGGTAAAACTCTGCTCCACATTGATTTTGAATCAGCCACAGCTCATGGTTAAGAGGTGCCAGGTAACACTGTCTGTCCTGTGTTTATGTGGCAGCACTGCACTGGACTCCAGCTGAGTATCGGCCACACCTCACGCTGGCTCAGCCACTCACGAATCAATATGAAACTATACGGCTCAGAGCCACTCGCCTTCTTCAATAAACATCCTCCTCCCTTTCTTCTAGTGGTCGAGGTGGAGAGAAAACCCTCCAGCCGGCTGCATGTTCCTCTGTCTGCTTGTTATATGGTCTGCTGTGTGTGTGCTCGTGTGCGTGTGCTGTTAGCAACTTTTTTTTGCCAATTGATGAATTCCGAGAGAGGGTTTGATGGGAGGGCGCTCAATCAGTGCCTCTTTAGGCGGGGGGTCACAGAGGAGCTCAGAACAGTCGAAGAGAAATTATAATATAGTTTAGCTGTCAGCCTGTAGAAGTTCCTGCTGAACTTTATTGTTTCATGAACCAGGGTGACCTGTGTTTATGTTAAATTCAACTTTAAAACTGGGAGAAAACTCTAGTCTACCTTTGACTTGGATGTTTTCTAAATGTCCCCAAAGGAAGGGTTAGTTAGCTGGTTAGTGAAGGGGAGGTAGCTGTTATTAAACCTTAATTCAGCCCACTGCCTCCTAATGGTGTTGTTATTATTATTATTGTTGTCACAAATATAAAATAAACATCTTGGAAGATTAGGAACCTTTATGGTTTTAGTGTTTTCAGTAGCAGAGCCTGGTTCGTGCTTTGTCACATTTCCTTTGGGTTCAAAGAAAATATCAAAGAAAGAAAGAAAACGATCTTTTATATAGCGCCTCTCAAGATAAAAATCATGAGGCGCTTCACAAAAACAAAACATTTAAAGAAGATTTTAAAAAAATGATTGAAACATGTTTAAAATAAGCAAAAATAGACAATTGTGGTTAAAAAATGCAAAGAAAGAGTGTGAATAGGATCGAGGGAAATTTTTTAAAAACAATCATTTAAATATAATTAAATAACCTGTTAAAAACACTAGAATGTGGGAAATGATCATCTGCTCACTAAAGGTTTTCTGTGAGAGACCCCCAGACCAACACCCCATCACCTGATGTCCTCTCTCTGCCTGTCTCCGTCCTCATAGCTGAGGACAATACTGGGACATGTGGCTGACATGTCTCAGTCTTTGTCTCTTCTCAGAGGAACAGAAACTTGTTAGCAGAAGGTAAACAAAGGCTTTACTCCTCCGAGAGCAGGGACATGTAAAAAACATGCAGCCACTGTGGCCTTAAAGGACCAGGTCTGCTCCCCTTGTTAATGTTCTAAATTACTGGTACTTACATTTGCAGCAGGTCAACTTGCTGGGGAAAGTAAGTGTGTGTGTGTGTGTGTGTGTGTGTGTGTGCGTGCGTGCGTGCGTGCGTGCGCGTACGGCTACTTTCCTCGATGTGGAGTTGCCGAGCGTGGGTGGGGTGGGGTGGTGGGGTTCTCACCATTTTCTTCCTTGACCCGTTTTCATGTCTGGGACTGTGATTAGGGCTGCTCGATTATGGCAAAAATAATAATCACGATTATGGTGACTGAAATTGAGATCACGATTATTTAGGACGATTTTTCAATTTATGTTGATTTTATTTGTTTTTATTCAGTCATAAAATTGCTCAGGGCACAATCAGGACAAAAATAAGAAACAAGATGATCACTAAAATAACTCCTGATTCCCAGTATAAAAAGACCAATATACTTATAGCTCATAGTTTATGACCCAAGGTCTATAGACCTTGGTTTAACTCATTTAAGTCTAACAGTACAGACCCAAATACCAATATCTTGCAAATACTGACAGCAAGAATTATACAGTGGCATTTATAACAAATACATGCAAATAAATTGATGTTCACAAAATGTTGCATAATACGTATTTAGTCGTGTCAATGTGCTGCTGGAGAGTGCACTAGCACCGTGTCCTCAGAGAGATTAGTTATTATTTATCAGCGTGAGGAACTTATTTCTACCTTATTTATAAACTATTTATTTACAAGTCCATCAATTAATGTAATAATTGTCCCAACCACAGCTGCACCCCCCACCCCCCAACCCGGTCTCACAGCAATCAGGGCAAGCTGCTCGTGTGTTTAGCACGCTGCACGCGCACATTTAGCCGTTTTAGTGGCTCAGGAGTCCGCAGGTGCAGTGTGTGTGTCACTCACTCTGGTTAATCCAACAGGGAGCCGGCTCCGAGAGCCGTTTCTTTAGCGACCGACACATCACTGCATCATTCCCTTTCCTAATGTCCTGAAGAACGGTCCGGAGAGCAGGCGGAGTGTTTAGCTAACCTGCAGGAAATGTCGACGACAGTTATCCAGAAAGTAGCTAAGGGTTACCAGAGATGTTTCTGAGGTGTTCGCTAGGTACTTTTAAGTTAAAAAGTCAAGAAGGGGGTCTGAAAAGCTGCTAGAAATAGCGTCAAAGTCACAAAGTTGGCAACACTGTGGGAGGAGCGCTTCATTTGCAACTCGGCGCAGCGCAGGCGGGAGGAGCAAATAATCGGCTTGTTTTGTTTTTTATAATCGTTCAAAACTCAGATCGTAATCGTGATTAAAATTCGATTAATTGAGCAGCCCTAACTGTGATGTAGATAGTTATGCCTGTAAATAATCCACCATAGATGAAAATCTATGGGTCTCCACCGTGTACAGCATGCTTAAGCTATGTCGGTTAGGGGAAATACTCTCTCCTGAAAAACGAGAAACACTCCCTAAAGTTCCTTTCAAAGACAGCTAAACGTACTGCCATAAAGTCCGGTCCTTTAAAAGCTAAATCTAAACAGCAGCTCAGCACTGAACAGCTGACTTCTATGTGTCCAGATTCTCCCAACAGCTCAGAGGCTGCTGGATGAGCTGCTATCCTCTCAGTCCACTGCCATCAACACTGTTTGTGGAGCTCCAGGTACGTCAGTGTGTGTGTGTGTGTGTCCCTCCATATTCAGTAAAATGTTGCATGTTTAGTTTGAATTCTGTAGGACTGATTAGTTTTAGATGCTTCCTTCAGTCACTGATATGTCGTCTGTCTCACATATGTAGATCCAACAGCAGGCCCATCAGCATCTGACCAAAGCACCTGGTACCTAGATGAGTCAGCTCTCAGTGATAATATCAAAAAGACTCTGCACAAGTTCTGTGGGCCTTCGCCAGTCGTTTTCAGGTACGTGCCTAAAACTCCTCACCATCTTTTCTAAATGTTTTAGCTAACCTGGCTCTCGGAGCTCTCTGGCTGTCTGGACTGAACGCATTTATATCAATTATAACAGAACTTACATGTTTGTAGTTGTGCCTGAATGTTTTATTCATCTGTTGACTTCCACTCTTGGCTTCATATTAATCAATAATCCCCAAACAAACGGTATTTTTGACAAATTTAACCCTTTGGGTGCCAGAATTTCTCAAGAGAATCTTCAGTTTTGACATGACTAGTTCAAAAGGTTGTAGCTTGAAAATGGCTAGAGATGAAGGTAAACTGTTAAAGAGAAACATCTTCAGTAGGACCCAAAATTTGTGTTGGGAGCAAATTCACTCATCTCATTTGCATCATCAGGCTGCCATATTGGAATGTATAATTTTTACAAATGTTTCTTCTTATTTTTACGTGTTATTGGGTAAACCTCGTAGAACCCCGTTTTCATTTTATTGTGTTTACTTGTTTCAAAAGTAACTCCCCCCCCCCCCCCCCCCCTTTAATAATGCTGTTTTATTGCAATCACTGGAATATTCATAATTATGTGACACACTTTTTACTTTAGGTTTCACATCTACCGCGTCTAAAGTCATCATTTGCATTTTTTTTAATGTGTGGGCATCGGAACGAGCCTCTGCACTGTGACAACAAACATCTGAGCTCTAAAGCCGGTCTTCATCCGCATACGTCACACGTCACGTGATCAGGAAGCAGAAAATCCATGTGTTAGGAGATCGTTTTGGGCCGCTGCTGTAAAAAAAAGTGAGGCGGGAACCGGAAAAGCGTCTGCTGATCACAATTCAACACCGGATTATGAAATGACAGATAACGCTCGAAACGCGTAGATTCTTCGTGATGCAAGAGGTGAATCTCTGCTTTGTTTTGGTTGTTTTGGCATTGAAATCATCCTAGCGCGCAACGTTCTGTGACTCTTAAAAAAAACTGTAAAAACGGTGAGAAACGCTGGCAGCGAATGAGTTCACATGGTGAAATAAGCTTTGGATCATGCGTATGAAGTGTGTTTACTCTGATGAAGCACGCTGGCTCTGTTGCTGTGTGCAGCAGCAGCGTCAACTTCTTCCTCACTGGACGAGTGAATATCTTCGTCAGAGAATGAATATTACTCAACTCATTCACTGCCAGCCGTTTCCTGATCACTAACGGCCTTCGCTGCCAGCGTTTCTCACCGTTTTTACTGTTTTTTTAAGAGTCACAGAACGTTGCGCGCTAGCATGATGTTGATGCCAAAACAACCAAAACAAAGAGGAGACTCACCTCTTACATCAGGAAGAAGCCGCATGTTTCGAGCGTTATCCGTTCTTTCATAATCCGTTGTCGAATTGTGATCGGCAGACGCTTATCCGGTTCGCGCCTCACTTTTTTTTTTTACAGGAACGGCCCAAAACGATCTTCAAACACATGGATGTGTTGCTTCCTGATCATGTGATCTGTGACGTATGCGGATGAAGATCGGCTTCAGGGCCAACTAGAGGGGGCTCGTTCCAATGCTCAAACAGTAAAAACATGCAAATGACGACTTTAGTCGTCAATGGCAGTGAATGAGTTAACAATCAGAGTCAGCCATTACCAGACAAAGAGCTTTGTCTTGTATCTTAACCAAAATCTTAACCATTTATCAGATTGGAAAACTTTAAATGCTTTGTCAACAATGAACAGACCTGTCAGCATTGTCCGTTTCTCCTCTATTATAAAATATTCGCCCTCTGTGAGCTCCTCTCTCCTCTACTCAGTCTTGAGTCTCCTGACTGGGAAGTTTTCAAACTCGGAAAATTTCAAAATAACCACTCAGAAGTGTTGTTCAGATTGAAGTTGCACATCCCCACATTTGCAGCTGTAGCTCATTAAAAGTAATATTACGATTTGGACGCTCAAAGGGTAAATTTTACAGTCCTTCTAATGCTATGGTTGAAAAGGTATTTCTGTGTTTCGGATTTTGGCAATGTTTTACTCAATTTTTGGTTTCAGCCAAGAATTTTCATTCTGGTTCATCCGTAGTGAAAATAGCTTCAGATCTTGTTTGTGCTGCTTGTTTACTCTCATGAAGTACACACACTCTGCTGCTGTGCGCAGCTGCAATGTCACTTTCTTTCTCACTGGACGAGTGAGTATCTTCATCAGAGGCTAAATATTACTCTTCAGAATCAGTCAGCCATTACTAGTCAAAGAACTGTCAACAATTAAAGGACCTGCCAAAATTGTATTTCCTCTAATCCTCCTCTGTGCTCCGGTGGTCTCCTCTCCTCCACCGGGACCCTCCCTAAAGGAGGTGGTTTTCAAACTAACTCTGAAAATTTCATTAAAATCACACCCAAAAGTGTTGCTCAGACTCAACTTGCACATCTTCACTATCTTCTGGTGTAAACTAATAATTTCATGAGGGATCATATCCACAGCGGTGGCTCGTTAAACCCAGCAATGATGCTTGTTTCAATTTTGCGACTTCGGCGCTTAAAGGGTTAATATTATCAAAGAACCCAGCTCAGGGTGCTGTCTGTAATGGAAACGTCGACAGTTACCCTAAATTTCATGAAGGTGTGTATGTGTGTGTGTGTGTGTGTGTGTGTGTGTGTACTTTTACCAGTGATGTGAACTCCATGTACTTGTCATCCACGGAGCCTCCTGCAGCTGCTGAATGGGCGTGTCTGCTGCGCCCGCTGAGAGGCCGAGAACCCGAGGGCATCTGGAACCTACTGTCCATCGTCAGAGAGATGTTTAAGAGAAGAGACAGCAATGCTGCCCCTCTGCTCGAGATCCTCACTGAACAGTGCCTTACCTATGAGCAGGTAATGACACAGTAACCATTCTGCTTGCATCAACTGAATGTCATTAGGGTTGGGCATCGAGCATCGATTGGAACCGGTTCCAACTGTTAGTTTTTCCCAGAATCGTTCAAAGTTTTTTATTTCCTAGAATTTCCTAGAATGCTGACGGAAGAGGAATCTGCGGCCGATCTCCGTGAAAAATAAACGGGATCTGCAAATTGTGATCAACTCTTTTCAGAGCTGATCACACGAGTCCCCCCTCCCCCCACCCAGACATAAACAAACGCATCTGCCGAACTTTTACTCCGTAATGTAAACTTTAATTCCTGCAGCGTAGAAACTTGTTAAAATACTTCAACACAGTGGATTTAAGAGAAGCTTTAAAGAACAAACTCTGGATGTGTGAGGTGAGTTTGTCTCACTGCAGAAATAAAAACACACACGGAGCGTCAGCAGTCGGAAGCTCCCGCTCACCAACACTCGTGTGTGTGTGTGTGTGTGTGTGTGTGTGTGTGTGTGTGTGTGTGTGTGTGCGTGTGCGTCAGAAGGCTGAACAATAACCTGTAGAATAATTAAAGTCATCATGCTAGAGCAGCTTCTCTGTGGTGGACCACACCAGCTTCTGCCACAATAAATAATTATAATAATAATAATAATAATAATAAATCACACACAAAGTTGTGAACAATTTAATTTCCTTTCTGAACTATTTCTGTTGAGTTTTAATGTTTAGAATCTGTTAGATTGTTACTGACAGCAGCTGCATTTAAGTTTCACTTTCTGTTCTGACTGAATGCTGCTGCAGCATGGAGGTGTAGTTCTCAGGCATCCTGGACATGATCATCCTGACAGTTTTAGCTGAAAACAGCTGGACGTTTCTGGATGTGTTGGAGACATTTGTCTCTCATCCCAGAGGCTGCTTCCAGACTTTGGTTGTGGTCAGAAACAAACACACTGGTTGTGCTGCAAGTCTTTTTCTTTTTTTCTCCAAAACATGTTTTTGTCTAAATGAAAGTGATGTTGTTCATAGAATTAAAATTCATGTTGAAGTTAAGACCATTTCATCAAGTAGGACCTGTGGTTAGCTGGCTCATGTACAAAATGTCACGTCTTGAAAGAATCGGAATTGGAATTGTTCAAAATCAAACAATGCCCAACCCTATTGAAACATGTTTCCCAAAATTAAGTGCAGTCCCAGTGGCGGTCAAAGGCCAAATCAGGACATAAATATGAGAGGCTGAACACAGGTAATGTGAAAAGGTAAAAGCCAAGTCATTATAGGGTGACATTGCTACACAAAGTAAACAGTGAGACAGAAACCACACTGCACCTGGGTGGAGTACCATAAGCTGAGCATCTTTGGGCCGTGTGTCCAGAACAGACACGGACAAGCTTGATGCAACCATGCGGAAAAATGTTCATCAGCTATGGTGTTTATTAAATCAAGTGCTCCAGTACCATAGAATATCCTTTTGTATTTGTACACGCACGCACGCACGCACGCACGCACACACACACACACACACACACACACACACACACACACACACACACACACACACACACTTATCAGATTGTAAAGTTGTTTGTTTGTCATGTCAGATCATCAGCTGGTGGTACAGCGTTCGGACGTCGGCGTCCCACAGCAGTGCCAGCGGCCACACGGGTCGAAGCAATGGCCAGTCGGAGGTGGCGGCCCACGCCTGTGCTAGCATGTGTGATGAGATGGTTGTTCTTTGGAGGCTGGCCGTGCTGGATCCCACCATGAGCCCGTGCAGGTCAGAACATTTATACCAGCTTAAAGTAGAACACCGCTTATCAACTATCTATTTTGAATATTTGTCAAAATGTAGTAACCGTATGATGGTTGGGGTTAGGAATTAGTTTAAATTAATTCTGTAACTTTTGTTTGTTCTAGGCGGCTAGAGCTAGCACACCAGCTCAAACAATGGCACTTGAAAATTATAGAGATAGTGAAACGAGGACAACACAGAAAATCTTTGGATAAACTCTTCCAGGGTTTCAAACCTGCTGTGGAGTCCTGTTATTTTAATTGGGAACTGGCCTATCCACTGGAAGGCATCACCTACTGTAGCACCGAGAAAAAGAATAGTACATTCTGCTGGCCAAGAGCAACGCTGTTCCAGAGAGGCATGAAAGCAGCAGGAGCAGCCGGGGAACCAGGGGATTCTGGAGGGAGCAGAGCTGAGGGTGACTACAGAGGCAGAGGGAGTGTTCACATGTCACAACAGGAGGTGGCCGTGCGACCTAAGGAGACAATCTTAACCAAAAGGAAAGGTCTGTCCCTCAGTGGAGGGGGAGGAATGCTTGTGCGTTTGTCGGGGAGTGTCTCACTGTCCCTGGAAGACAGTGGAGTGAAGTGTACATACAAAGGAGCAACCTCCTCCGCTGGAGGTAAACTGAAACTGACACAGGGTGGGAAGGGGGCATCTTTAGGTGGTGCTGTTGGAGGTGGAGGGTTAAGAAGCAGTAAGCATGGGAGTACCAAGCGAAGAACCAGCAGTGAGGACAGCTCCTTGGAGCCAGACCTGGCAGAGCTCAGCCTAGATGATGGCTGTAGTCTGGCTTTAGGGGCGGAGGCCAGCAACACATTTGAGTTTCTTCCTCCACCACCTGAGATGCTGCCCTCTCCAAGTCCACTGCTCAGAGACTCTCTGAAATATAAGATGATGTGTGAAGGAAGCAAGAGCTGTGATATAAATCACGTGAGCCTGGTCTCATCTGCATCAACTGCTGCAGAATCTGCCCCACCAGGCCTCAGGGAGACTGTTGGTACTCAACTGGACATCGCTGCTGCAGAGGAGGAAGCAAAGCTGGAGGTGGAACCTGTCTTCAACGTGGACTTGGATATCAATCACCATCCTTCCATCTGCACCACGACTGCAAGATCTGTTAGCCCTCAAGATTCTGACAAGTCCGTGCAGCACCACAGAGACGTGGCAGCTACTAAAGCTGCTGCAGCTAGTCTGGTTAATGAAGCTGCTGAAGCCACAGGTGAAGCTTCTGAAGGGGAAGCTGCGGGTGAAGATGACTACCAGGCCTACTACCTAGGAGTAGCCTCGGAGGAAGGAGCAGACAAACAGCTGGCTGATGGTCACCAGGTGGAAGAACCAGACATCTTTGCAGGGATTAAACCACTGGAGCATGCTGGACGAATGGAGGTACGAACATAATCTAGACATTTTTACTACAGGGGTTCAGCTTTAGGTCAAATCATCTACCACTGCCTGAAAATCATTAGTTTATATGATTGGGAACATCTGAAGTATGATACCTGAAAAATAAACCCAGCATAACCTCATTTTTTTCTACATTAGGATTATTACAAAGCAAATTATCTGAAGTTATCTTGATTACAAAGTTTAAAGAGCAAATTGCAGGTTAGAGACCCCCTATGAACCAATGTTTAGAGAAACATAATAGAATCATTTTTTATACATACATAAAATATTTTGGCTTTTAGAGTCATTTTGTGAGAAATGTGTATTTTTTCTTTTTTTTTTGCCAAACCAAATGACGTCAGCAGAGGGAGTCCTGTTAGCTTAATCCAGAGAAAAATATGGACTCCAATGCGGCTCTGACACAGAGGAAACTAAATGTTTATTATTCTACTTCTGATGAACCAAAACCATAAAGTTATGAGTTTGCTGCCGGTTCTGGTTGCTCATGCGGGTTTCTGTGAGCTGGATCTGACCCATAAACCAGCTCGAATGGCCCGCTGAGCTGCGCGTGCGTCTCTTCTGGTGGTTGGTTTTGACGGTGATCTGAGTTACAGAAATCCGCATTTTACTTTTTAAACCCCGCCACGGGTCTCCGGAGCCCAGCGCAGACCTCCCTGACCCGGTACCGACCGATGTGGGCCACAGGAGTCCGTCTTTTCAGCTGCGCAAAACGCCCTCAGGCACGGAGATAGAAGCGTTTCTCATCTGGAAACTCGTGTACTCGATGTCCAGACAGGCTGGAGTTGGTGCAGCCTGTCTGGACATCGGACACACTATAGTTTATCAACATGAACACAATCCAACACTAGTAAACACACACTGACTAGATAACATGACCTCTCTACCCTAAAACTACCCACTCTCCACACTGAGCTGAGGCAGCGCCTAGCCTCTAACTCCCTTTGGTTACGTCAGAAGTTCACATTTAGAAAAAAGAGCCTTTTTTGAAGCTTTATTGAGAACGGCCACTTTTTACTAGAAAATTCTGCTGTTATGTATTTTAAAACCAAAATATCCACAATAAGCATTTAAATAGTTTTTCTAGACAGCATTTTATATGAATTTGAAAAAAAGTTTAACCTGCAATTTGCTCTTTGAAGACCACGTTTTTTGAAGAACCTGCTGGGGGAGTGTCACCGTTTCTGTTTCCCTTGCATTTATTGATGACAACTAACTTGTTGTTCCTGAAACAGGAGCACCAGAGCTTTTCCCCAAAGAGATTAACTCACAAGGCATTAATTTATACTAGAGTCCAATGCAGTGACCTTGGTCTTTCAATAGATAATGTTCGAAAAGGTAAAGTACTACAACATTTCTGGAACCTTTAACAATAAAGAAAAAACACCATCTATAAATATGTCAAAATAAAATGTTACTATAGTAACTTGATGTGGAAGCTGTTAAAAATCTAAAGTTTCCATCAAAATAATATTAAATATAAAAATTAAACACAAAGCTGATTTATTTTCTCACTCAGTGAGCAGCTGTGATCAGCAGCAACACAAAGATGATGGTACCTGCTGTATCAGTGTAACAACCTGGTGAAACATTAAAAACCAGGATGAATATCCATCATAATTTACTTAACTTCTTAGAATGAATTAAAAAAAAAATCAGTTTTAACTTCAACCTGCTGAATTTGCCCTGATATTTTTGTATTTTGTTGTTACAGTTCATTCTTGAGTAAACTGGCATAAGAGGGACGTGAGGTGAAACAATCTGATTTATGGTGTCAAACAGGACTTAAGAGTTATTTTTGTTTATGGCAATCAGCTGAGCAAAGAAAGTGGCCCTGGAATTTTTCACCATCTCATTCAGAGATGTCATCAGTTCTTAAAAGTGCAGCCTGTGACTTTGTAATCCAGTTGACTTGTAACTAGGGATGCTCCGATCCGATCACGTGATCGGAAATCGGGCCCGATCATGTGACTTTTAAAAGATCGGAATCGGATGTTAAAGATCGGATTTAACCTTATAAAACAACAAGCATGACATTTTTAATCAATCTTGAGTTTCAAATTGAATAACAATGGCTTAATTTTGTACCAAGTTTCACTTCCTCAATAACAACATGACAACACCATACAGCAGCCGTAACGTCACATGTTTTAAAGTGGACCGCGGAATTCAGGTTGCAGTTAGCTAGCAGGTTAATGCTCGTCTCGCTCCAGGAGGGAAAAAATGTCAGCGGTTTGGAATCATTTTAAACTGGAGACCGAATGCTGTCCAACAGCCACTTGCAACGTGTGCAAACTGAGTGTTTCACGTGGTGGAAAAGACAGAGCTGCTTTTAACACCAAGAACCTGATCCGCCATCTCAAGAGCAAACATCCAGCTCAATATTCCGAGTTCACCGCGGCAACGCAGATCAAAACATGGAGCCAGCCGACACTGGAAGCTATGCTGAAAAACTTTTTATGGTATCATGTTGGATGCTGTCATATAAATAATAATAATAATAATAATAACCTAACAGGTAGGGCTGCTCGATTATGGCGAAAACAATAATCACGATTTTTGTGACTGAAATTGAGATCTCGATTATTTAGGACGATTTTTCAATTTATGTTGATTTTATTTGTTTTTATTCAGTCATAAAATTGCTCAGGGCACAATCAGGACAAAAATAAATAAGAAACAAGATGATCACTAAAATAACTCCTGATTCCCAGGATAAAAAGACCAATATGCTTATAGCTCATAGTTTATGACCCAAGGGCTACAGACCTTGGTTTAACTCATTTAAGTCTAACCAGTACAGACCCAAATACCAACATCTTTCAAATACTGACAGCAAGAATTACACAGTGGCATTTATAACAAATAAATGCAAATAAATTGATGTTCACAAAATGTTGCATAATATGTATTTAGTCATGTCAATGTAGGAGAGTGCACTAGCACCGCGTCCTCAGAGAGATTAGTTATTATTTATCAGCGTAAGGAATTTATTTCTACCTTATTTATAAACTATTTATAAGTCCATCAGTTAATGTAATAATTGTCCCAACCACGGCTGCACCCCCCACCTCGGTCTCAGCAATCAGTGGCAAGCTGCACGTGTGTTTAGCACGCCGCACGCGCACATTTAGCCGTTTTTAGTGGCTCAGGAGTCCGCAGGTGCGGTGTGTGTGTCACTCACTGGTTACTCCAACAGGGAGCCGGCTCTTAGAGCTGTTTCTTTAGCGACTGACACATCACTACATCATTCCCTTTCCTAATGTTGTGAAGAACGGTCCGGAGCGCAGGAGGAGTGTTTAGCTAACCTGCAGGAAATGTCGACGACAGTTATCCAGAAAGTAGCTAAGGGTTACCAGAGATGTTTCTGAGGTGTTCGCTAGGTACTTTTAAGATTTAAAAAGTCAAGAAGGGGGTCTGAAAAGCTGCTAGGAATAGCGTCAAAGTCGCCAAGTTGGCAACACTGTGGGAGGAGCGCTTCATTTGCAACTCAGGGCAGCGCAAGCGGGAAGAGCAAATAATCGGCCTGTTTTGTTTTCATAATCGTTCAAAACTCAGATCGTAATTGTGATTAAAATTCGATTAATTGAGCAGCCCTACTAACAGGTCAATTTGGAGGCAGTCTCCCTTTTTTCTTGCTATTTTATTGTATTGCTGAAGTATCGGATCGGGACTCGGTATCGGCAGATACTCAAAATCAAATGACTCGGAATCGGATCAGGAGCCAAAAAATGTGATCGGAACATCCCTACTTCCAACGCCTCTAGGCTCTGCATCATGACCTTCTGAGACTGTAAATGTAAAGGGCTTTTCCTCCTCTTAGATAAAACAATCTGCTTAGATTGGATAAACAAGTTTGGATCATCACCCTGAACTGAGCTGCTGTCAAATAATCTAGAAAATCCACCCACTGCTGACTGATTAATGATGTGTCTCTTTGATTTCAATTTGTGAGGGACAGATTCAACATTAGAAAACAGGAAAACAAGATCTAGATTGTGGCCTATTTTGTGTGTGGGGCCTGAAATGTGCTATTTTAAGTTAAGACTGTAATAGACATTAACACTACTGCTGTGTAACAAGTAGGATCATTAATGTATAACTTAAAGTCACCAAGAATTTAAACTTTTGCTAGTTTGATCATGCAAATTTAGAGAGAAAAGGGGCAGCTGGATTGGGGGATCAGTAAATTAAAATACATTTTGTAACCCTACTTTGATGACCTGACATTACAGATTACAGACATGTTTGTCCTTAAAGACCACAGCAAGATCTCCACCACGAGGTGACGAGCGTGGTGTGGTAAACACAGAGACATTTGGTGGACATATTTAATTGAAGTGTACATAATTTCCATCTTGCTGCCACATCTCCGTAAGAAATAAATAGTCCAACTTTTCCCTGGATTAACAGCTCATTTAAAATAAAGGACTTGCTTGAAATGGAGCGAGCATTTAACAGGGCACACTGAACTGAATCCTGGAGAACATTTGTCTTCAAACCTGGAATGGATCGTAAACATCAGGTGCGTTTCTGGGTTCTCCGGCCACAAATAGTTTGTCTTTGCTGGTTGGTAAGACTTTTGGATTTGTCAGCAGAAGAGAACATTTTGGGGATTGTGACCTTTGGAAGACACATAGGGGACAGTTGCATTGTGGGAGGACTGTGGGGGGTGATGTTATTTGGAGTGGTGGCGTGAGCGATGCCCGAAAAAGGTTTAGTTGGCTGGAATGTAAACAGTCATATCTGTGAAAGAGAACCCACAATAGCTATATATCTATGGGACTGCACAGCATACCAGATGTTAGCATTTAGCATGCTTGAGCCATGTTAGTTAGAAGAAGAAGAAGAAAGTATCACTCTATAGTATCATTTCTATAGCATCTTGAGCTTCCTTGTACCTGTTAAAAGGCGGGCTGCTGCATTTTGAACCAGTTGCAAGCGGTTTAAGGAGGAATGCCCTAATCCATAGTACAGGGAAT